GGAAGCCCGGATTTGATTTTCGAGTTTGTTTTATTATCTATTTAATATTTTGTAAAACTTTTAACAAATTTTTTGATAAACAAACTGAGCGATTTCAAAACGAGCAGTGGCAACATTGTAAGAAAAAAAAAAAAACATTTTTATATAGAGCGCGCGAGACTATCTGTCGGAAATTCTAAAGATATGCTGTTCTTAAATATTTTGAGATATTGCTGTTGAACTAAATTTTATGTGGTTTAAATGCGAAGAACCGTATATTTAATAAATGCAGGTAACTTACAAGGCGTTAAAAAAAAGCCTCTTTAACGCCTTGTAAAATCTGAAAGTTTTCATATTTATATATATATATTTTAATCAACGAATAAAACAGAGAATAAAAATTTTTTGGCCTTTACTATTTGAATATGAATTACAATCCAGTTTTGAAACGTGGTATAAAATCCATATGAACTGTACTTAATTTTGTTGATTAATTTAATTAAAAGTAAGGTGAAGTGAAGGAAATGCATATTCCTGCTTTAACGAAGGAAGAATTGCTGCTAATCAATATATCAGTTTTAGGAAGCGATCGCCAAATGAAGAAAACAAATTTTTAAAAATCGGACATTTGGGGATAGTTTATGGATCACTCGAAAAAGGGGAAAACTGTAAAGTTCATTTACTTGGCATCAGTTTCGTTAGCTGGGGGAAACATTTTCGGCTTAAATGAGACTTTTTTTTTTTTTTGTTTATCTGAGACCGGATGGAATGATGGGACACACCCAATATTTCAGTGTACATTTAAATTTGTTTGTTTAGTTGAATACTACAAAGTATTCGAGGATTATCTGTTTACCTTCGGAAGACTGCCAGAGAATCTGGCTGTTATTTATGTTTACTCGTGAGAAAAACTACGAAAATGCCTATGCAGCTAGCTAGCGCGTTCGTTGACATTCGAAATCAGACCGAACTACCAGTATTATGCTGCACTGGAGAGCCGCGTCCATCAAAGTGCACACGATTTAATTCAAAAAGAGGGGGGATAACATTTATAGCACAAGCATTTGGAAATTTTCAGAATTTCCAAATGCTTTTGCTATAAATATTAAACGTTTAAATAAAAAACAGTGAATTTCTTTTGAGAGAATCAAAAGGAATATGCGAAACTGCATGGAACGAATTATCTGTTTAAATTATTTAAAAGGAATGTTCATGAAGGGGGAACTAAGCTTAAAAAGCAAAAAATGCTTATTTTAATAAACTGCGATGAAGCGCAGATGATTCAGAATAAAACTTATTAACGAAATCAACAGATGGCCAGTATGTTGTGGTTGAATAAATTCTCCGAAGTAGCCTCAGGAATGTAAGGGATCGCGCCACAGATGCATGAATGATATGATAACTAAGTCATATTTGGCCAGTTAGCACTCGTTTACCACAGAAAATATTTCTTAGCAATTATAATAAAATGACTAACTACCCTCAGCGCAGTTCACGGGTTCATTTTAAAGTAATTTATGGCAGCTAATGAAAATGTTCTAGGCAAGGGGGAAAAGTAATGAAAATAAAGCCACACGTGTCACGATCAAAGGAAAAACCGCTTAACTGTTATTATTAGCAGTAATATCTGCCATGTAAATGTATTGAAAGGAATGCAGTATTTCACAATGATGTAAGTTGTAATGCTACACTTTTATGAATTATGTTTCCAGGGGAGCTGCGACAATACTATGCCTTCGTCAGAGTGTACCAATTTAGGCGATAGTTAATAAATCATTAAGCTAAAATAACTCGTAGAAACTGCTTGAGAGAGCACCATTTTTAGTATTTATTAGTGTTGAAAATTGGCAGACGCGATATTTTGAGCAATTAAACAAAAGACAGAGAAAAAGGACAGAAAAGGGGGCAGAAAAGAAATTTATGGTAAAATATTCATACCATGACAGCAAAACATTCAACATTCTACTTTATTAAATTTAATACCGAAGTTACTCTTTACCAAAAGTTAAAAATTCACTTCCTTGTCGTTAAATAACCTAAATTCAGAAATAAATTAATTTTCCATGTGTGTCTTCTTAGCAGTTTTCAGTTCGCAACATGCAAATATATTTTCTTTTTAATATTGCTATACTCATAGTCTTGGGCGACATTTGTTTCAATAAGAATGCACTTAGTTTGTTTGAAAACATACTTTAGCAATGTTTATATCTATTTATTTACTTATTTGTTACAAATATTTGCCGCAGGGTAAATGGATTACATTTATTAATTTAAACAAAGTAAAAGAAGGTTATTTTTTAAGCTCCATTTTTAAGCTTTTTTAAGCTCCGACGAAGATTCCGCACCTCTCTTGCCCTATAATTAAATCGTCCAGGATTCGAACCCGAAGTTAGGAGAGCCCGTACATTACCAAGCACTCACATCGTGCAAACGGATGTACAGGGTAAACTGAAAGCAGCATTTTAGCTATAATGCTATTGTAACTTAATTATAAATAACTATAAATTCTTTCAAAATGAGTTATAACCGCTGTAATGCATTATATAATAAAAATGCGTGAGATAACCTAATCCTTTCAGAAGGAAGGGTATTAAAATGGGTAGCAAAAAGGCATGCATATTTATTAAATGATCGTTATATTTTTTAATCCTAATGATTTTAATTTTTTCTGTTTTACAATAAATATTGCAATATATTGCAATGGCCTTAATTAATTTTAAAAATCAGCAAATTCATTTCCTCTGAAATTAATCCATTATTTTTTCTTTAAATTATATTTAAAAGATACTGGAAATTTGAAAATGAGGCAGAATTCAAATTTAAATTGAAAAAAGAACCTTTTAAATGCTTAAGCATTTTATGAAACTATCTGAAACGTATTCCCGTTCATCAAGAGTAAGTCTTCAATTAGCTCCAGAAATAGTACTTAAATTATTAACGTATGGACTGTTACGCATTAGAAGATGGGAAGAAAAAATAAATATTCGGGACTAAAACTTTTTAAACACTCCTGAAAAATATGAAATGGAATTAAAACCACTATCTTAATTTTAGAATTGGCATATTTTTCTTACACTTCAGAGTCATGTATCATACTTAAATCGGAACGGATAATTTCATTCTATAAATTTTATAAGTAGTTTAACTAATATAATCGTAAAAATAGGTTTTACTCCTTAAGAAGTACTTGAACAGAGACCAACAAATTTTTTGGTGGAAACACTTTTAATACTCCTATCTTTTCGTGTAGTAAAAAAAAAATAACCTTAACTTTTCTCAAAGAAAGACAAGTATCAATGCACGTTAAGCGTTTAAGGCAACAACGTGTTTCAACTTAAATAAAACATTTTATTAAACAGGATATTTCGAGCCAAATAAATAAAACAATCGAAGCGTATAACCGTTCGAAAGTCCTACTCGTGCGGTCTACCCTTCCACCAATGACGTCTTAACTGCGGCCTACCATAATTTCCCACACTTTACCGCAAAGTGAAATAAAAAAGTCAACTTTTCAACACAGACATTATCTTCAGGCATTTCAACCTAAACACTCCGTAAAAAAATAAAATCAAGGCAAACAATAAAAACCAAACAGTTTTTTAAAACATTATGTTCGCTTAAAAAAGGGGGAAAAAGAGAGAGAGAGAGGAGCAGTAGAAGCATCAACACTTAGCGCCCTGGTCGGCAGAACAGCTTTCGTACTAAAGGGGAAAAGAAGATTCAATCAAGTTATCAGGTAGCAGAGCAGAAAACGTGGGGGGATGGAATGCATAAAATCCCCCTACCCGCCGATTTAAAGAGCGATCACATTCGCATCTTCAAAAACAATAAAAGAATTTTACAGAAGTTTCCGAAAGCTGGTCTACTTTTTACTTTTCTTTTTTAAATCCAAATTTGACCACACAGGTGGGTGCACCGTGTTGTATTTTCCCACCAATGCCTGGAAAAACGTTTTTCCGGTTCGCCGAGCCTTGACTGTTAAGCCGTGAAGAAGAGTTTGCTTAAAAGTCTACTTTAAACCCTTTTCCACACTTGGCTCGTTTTTCTGCTTTTTCATCCTCAACTGTACTCTATTTTGAGGGGCTGGTAACCAGTTTTGAAATTGTTAATGTTAGGTCTTCCAACATCTCTTTATTTTGCAGGTAGTTACTTCATTTGAAGTTCTGTAGGTAATAAAAGAACAGCCCACGTTTTATAACAAGCAAAGGAAACCAAGTTGAAGTTAAACAGTACAAAGAAATACAATTCACTTAAATAAACGCATAATTGGTAGCAAGAGTCCTCTAAATCGTATTTTTACAATGAAATTGATGATAATCTTTATAAAACTGGCCATGAAAGCAAATATTGAAAATACGCTTGACTCATTTTTCGCATCAATTGTCTCGAAAATTTACATGCTTTCCGTCATAAGAGTTCGTGGGAAAATAACTGGAAGCGCCAGTAAAGGAAATTAATTTTTTTTAATTAAAAAAACTCAAAAAGGCTTTCAGTTATACATTGTTATATAACAAGCATGTCAAAAATTTTATTTGGAATACAAATTTAAGTTATCTGGAACTGCGTTTACCGTCCATACTTAAAGTATTATTAACTATCTTGTTGTATTTAGTCATAGAACAAAACCTATTGCAGAAAATTTACTTTTATGAAATTAAAATAGCATTACACGAGGAACACTAAGTCCGCAGTGTACCATTTCGTTCGCTATACCTAAAAATAGTATGTCACATCAGTGCTTGATATAAAGAACTTATTAACAATGAACGGTTAAACTTTCCTTTATTCCCCCTTTATACAAGTAAAATTATCACTTTGGTTTCATATACCACAACCAACTTTGTGAAAATTGCATTAATTTCCTGGCAGTTTTTACAGTTTTGCTCTTCTTTTCAACTGCCTTCACAGTAATTCGTCCAATTCAGAATTCTTTTTTCAAATTTCAGTTACACAAGAGTAAATTTAAATACTGAATTTGTTAGCTGTAACTTATACTTAAGAATAATAAAAATAGTTCTTACTTCAAGAAATGCTCTTCGTGTCGAAGTTTGTTCCCGCGCTGCTTATTGAACGTGAACTGACAGCCTTACTTGCGTAAGTAATATCTGAAATTAAAAATTTAGTATATTTAAAATCATTATCCCAATTAATTTTTTCAATTAAAATTTTAATATATTCAATTTAGAATTCTAACTATTAGCTCTTCTAGCAGTTAAAGCACCAAATTAGATTGGCTTAATTGGCTTTAGGCGAGAAGTTGTATTTGTTCGTAAGCTTGGGATTTATGAAACCTTTATGTTGCAGGAAGATTTTACGTCTTCAATGCAAAGCGCAAAAAATTCAGGTAAACCTTTATTGATTATTTATTTATTTGATAAACAGCCAAAAAAAACAATAACTCTCTATATTCTTGTGCTAGCGGTAGCTTGATTTGATACTCATATAGCCTCATCTTGGTCGTTAGGTCAGACATTAAGTCGAAAAGTTAAAAGTTCATTTGTAAATTTTTCTTTCGTTAAAAATTATTTTGGAATAACAGCTCTTTAATGGAAACATCTTGGTTCTTCAGTACTGGAAATGCAAAACAACAAGCATTCAAAAAGACTTTAAAGTAACAATATTTTAAACAGGGGAAGAGAGTATCTGTTAACAGCAAGCTTAGATTAGGTTATAAGAATATGGAAAAGCTACGATGACTATCTGCCTAAGAGGAGGAATACCTTCAAGGAGAATTATCTGACGGAAACTGGCGCGTATTTTCATGGCGAAAACCTTGAAAACCATCCATGCATCAAGCCTGTTCAAGGGATCAAATTCAAAGCAAATCGAAATATCAGCGTTCTTAAACCACTTGGGAACAGGTGAGGCCCAACTAAGAGCGAGAAAAAGCTGCAACAACAGCAGTTCTTCATAGTGTTGCTGCAACTTTTGATTTGTTATATGTATATCTGTCATAAAATTTTTATGCTCAAAAGTACATTTCTTGTACAGCTTTGTACAAAGTGTTCTTCATTGCTGAAAAGAAACACTAAGTAAATTTATGCTTTTAACTTTAGCAAAAATACCAAAAGAACAAAAAGATAACACGTATTAAAAAAGAAAAAAAAAATGAACGATACAGATAAGCAATTCGGACGGGCTTAAAGGGAACATATATTTATTTATTTATAATTGAATTACTAGAAGTAAAAAAAAATCAGGATAAAAATTAAGCTGAAAGGATGGATTATTATATTAATATCGATCTTTCTGGCTCATTCTAAGATCGCTAATATTGTAGAAACACATCTAATATCTCCTCCGCCCCGAAAAGTCCCAAATAAAAATTATTTCAAATTATTAATAAATATTATTAAAAAATAAATTATTAAAAATGAAATAAAAGTTTTTCTTTAATTATATCCTTATCTAAATAGAAACTAAGTTTAAAATAAGATCATTATTACTCGGAAAAAGTTAATATTCTTAGGAAACAGTTGTAATTAAAGAGTTTCTTTATTTGGAAGCAGTTAAGTGGATAAAATCGCTAAATATTCGTCGTTCCAACAAATCCCTCTTCCGCCCCAAATAGTAAGCTCAACAGATGAATGGTTAAGTTGAATGAGCATTTTCGTGTTTTATCTCCATGTAATGTAAATACGAGACACTTTTCCTTAGAAAGTTTACCATGAATGCATTCGTTTTTTAAGGAGATGCTCTCTCTCGTGCTCTTCCTTAATCACTTAATCAAACCAAATAAAAAACTTGATTAATTATTGACTATTTAAAATTATTAAACCTTTCAAGAGAAAGATAATTTCACACACTTTATATCATTTTTCAGCTTGTTCTTTGTTATTTTGTGTTTATAAATGCGTCAGATTTGTTTACGAATGAAGTGATAAGTAATTGCCATGAACTGATACTAGTAAACTGTTAGATAAATAAAACCTAGCAAAAAAAGATAAATAAAAACCCAGAAAAAAAAAGATAAATAAAAACCCAGAAAAAAAAAGATAAATAAAAACCCAGCAAATTGTAACTGCGGATAAAAGATTAAACTGGATAAAAGTCAGAGGGATCCGCTGAACAGACTAAAAGAGAGAACTAACTTCACATAGGGAGTAAAATGGGTTTGATTCCCGGATAATGGGTTTTCTGCGTAGGTGTTTCCGTAGTTTCCCTGAGTGTAGCGTAAATATGAAACAGTTCAGCAAAGAACGTACTTGACGAAGATGTCCCTGTTCTTAGCCAATTTGGCCTGGAATGTTTTCATACACCGAATTTAACAAACAAGCAAAATAGGAAAATTACTTATTTCTTTATATAGTAAATAAAAGAAAAAATGATAAACCGGAAATTGCAGCTTTTAAATGTAAATGTATGACAAGATTGAAATAGAAGGGGAAAAAAGTTTAATAAATCAGATAGTAAAGAACTATTTGATAAAAGAACTATTTTTTTTATAGAAAGTTTACTAGTAGAAATGAAGAAATTGATAGACGTTTTAATCTAACAGCTGAAAGACTACAGGAAATGAAACGAGTAGCTTCCAAGTTCCAGTTCCTGACTGGTGAAAAATAATTGTTACTGAATGTATGCGTTTTAAAAGGCGCACCTTATAACTTAACACTTAAATGTTGAAATGCTGTAAATGTATTAGAAATTTCATCAGAAATATCCAGAGTTTAAACCACTCTTCAGTAATTCTGGTCACTAACGCATGTTTAGGTTTTTTAAGCTAATTTAGGAACTTAGTTCAAATGTATTCGAATTCGTAAACTGCGTTAAGAGTATTTTTAAGTTTGCCAACCACTTACAGTTAAAAAGGCTTTACCAAACTTAAAATAATAATAATTGAAAAAAATTGCAACATCTTCCCTTAGTCAAAAAGAATTTTCAAACACGGCTATTCTCTCTCTAGAACATGAATTAAGTAATAAAATAAAGTTTTCAAATGGTCATGATAAATAATATCAGTTTTGAAAAAGGTATTGTGATTTTGCTTGTTAAAAGATAACAAAATTAAATTAAAGGAAAGTGCAATACGTGTCATATTTTTAACGTTTAATTTTTCAAATTTTTAAATTTTAATTGAATTTTTTAACGTTTTCATTTAAAATTTATGAATTATTACATGTTATTTTTTCTGATTATATAAAACAGCGACTCGAAATATTATAAGAGTTATTGTTTATGATTTAATATAGTTACATTTGTTGCGTAAGAATTTGTACAGATATAGCTAATTTTATTGAATATAAGGGTTCAGATTTATCTCGTTAGCTCAAGTGGAAGATCATGTAGGTACGGATCGGCTTACCGTTACAAAAATTAAAATCACTTCACACCGAGAAACAGTCTACCACCGACAGTGGTGCGAATCGAGTCCGGGCCCTTCGGTAAGATTGAACAGTATTCTACTGCCGATATCAAAGACTAAATTTAGGACATAGATATGCTTGGAAAATAAATCGTGTTCATTACACAATAAATTCAGAAAATAGCAGTGAGACCAGCTTTAAAAAATAATATAATTTATTGAAACTCGGTTTAATAAAATAATTATACTAACGCTATTTTCTTTCAAATCAGTTTAGTTTCGTGAAATGAGTTCAATAACTATATTACTAGTTCAAAAATAGTGAATAATTATACGATAAGTTCAGAAAATAATAGTGAGACCAGTTTAAAAAAATAATATAATTTATTGAAACTTGGTATATAAAATAATTATACTAAGTCTGTTTTCTTTAAAATCAGCTTAGTTTCGTGAAATGAGTTCGAGGAGTATATTACTGTCATATATCAATGCAAGGCGACAAGAGTAAACGGGAGAAGCTTATATTTCGGATAGTTTTTTTTTAACGTAATTGCCATTGGATTTGTAGCGCATTCCATCTGACCAGATTCGAAGATCATTCAACAACTACTATTCCGATAATTACTATAGTCTTTCCGTGTAAATAATCTTCAACATTGAGAAACGTTATGAAAACAAATGTAAGAAAAATCGCTATGATAATCCCCGCAATGGGATAGCGCATCCGCTCGGAAATCCTAACTGCCCCGATGGATTTGAATTATGGCAAGACAAACTAGTCATGCGATTCGAAATGCTAAGACATCCTAATGATACGAAAGGAAAAGATCGGGATGCCGAAATTCAAATAGTACCAAACATTTTCACTTTCAGGGAAAAGAGACTGAATGAAACATTTTTAAACCTTCAACACCATAATCACGCCTTCATCTTTCGAGATCGTAGTAGGTCGAGTCGCTGCTTTTCCACGATACCCAAAGCGGTGGGACTTTTTTATCATCTTCCCAATCCCAAAATGTTAGGGACAAGAACAGCAGAAACAAGGCAAGGACGCAGACCAGGGGAGAATCATCGTTTGATCTTGACCTTGATAGCCGATCAGTGTTAAACACGAACTTTTATCCCCCCTCCCTTGGTTTCGCTCTTAGTATTCTTGACAATTGTTTCTTTTATTCTTTTATTTCGGAAATAACGAAGTATTCGGTTTTATTTTTCCGATTCTTACTACCACAGTTCGTGGAACGGCATATCAAAGAATGAAGACAAAGAAAATGGAAAAAGATTTTGACACTGCAAACGCATAGTTCTGCATTTCACATTTAAAGAAAACTGAAAAAGGAAAATAATTGTACACGCTACTCATGAAGAACCACCTTTTCTTCTCCATGCAATTATGTCATTCCTTAAATACGGGCCTTTTCTTCTTCGTTCTCTCTACAAAACCAAGATTCAAATGTGAAGAATCAACACGAAAATAAGTCAGTCTTAATTGTAGTTTTATCCGCTTGATTTTGAATGAATGAGAGAACTCGAAATTTATAATAAAGCTAGAACTTGCGGAAGTATTTATTTTAGCAAATTTTGATTGCGAAAGATTTAAAACAACAGGCAGAAATTATTAAGCAACTTATGCAGAGTTTACGCATTTCTCAAGAAACTTGCTCTGTATCACGGTTGTCTGAAAACTTAGTCATGAATGTCCAACCTTTTGAAGCTTTTGAGCCACATGGCCTGATAAAAGATCGAACGCAAAATATGTTAATATAATATATAAAAACAAAAATACATTTTCTACCTCTATTA